CCAGACTGAGTGTCCTACGACACGTTCGCGATGCGATGGCTGAAAGCCAAGATCTGCAAAAATAATATACCGATGAAAAAGGAAGCGGCAAAGAAGTCGAGGACTTGGTTTTACTAAATTCAAAAATCTGCCTACACATGCAGCCTCTGCTATCTTCAGGACAAAGCTTCGTCCACGGTTCATCGGACCGTTTAAGGTTGTGGCCAAGCGGGGCCTAGCGTATACGGTGAACCTTATAGAACGGATGCACACCCACCCGGTGTTCAACGTGGGCTTGCTCAAGCCGTACCGGGATCCGGCGCAAGTGAACGCGGAAGCATTGGCACCGGAGAGGGTCCCGCGGGCCCTCGGCGCCAGAAGCTGAACCAGCAACTTGTTTTGAGAACGGAGTGCGACAATCTCCATTTCTAATGGCGCCAAGCGCTCCACCGTCGCAGCGACGCAGTTGCCTGCTCCACGGCTAAGAGTCGCTCCGACAGAGCGAAGTAGTACTCAAGGTGAGGCAGCCGGCGCACGACGCGCTTCAAATCGTCAAGAGCGTCCGCACAGCGAAATACTACTTGAGCGTCCGCACAGCGATATGCTACTTGAGCATGACACTCAGCGGAGCTCCGATCACAAAGGACCTCATCCTCAAGGGCTCGAAGAGCATCACAAGTCACCGGACGGCGGTCGAGCCGGTCGTCACCGCCCGCTATCGACTCTTCTCGATGAGACTTGTGGCGTTCACTATCACGTGGAGCGTAGAGTGAGACGACGTCGTCACCAGGGTCAAACCAATATTGGGTGAAGTGGCAGGGATATCCCGACTCCGAAAACTCGTGGGAGTTTGAAGCGCCACTCCGGCAAGATTGCCCAGATGCTGTGGAAGCTTTTGATCGGAAAGATCAGGACACCCCGCGCTTCCCGGCAGTAGCCCGGGAAGTAGAAGGGCCAGTAGCTGAGCTCAAGCAGTGGCCCTGAGCCCTTGCGGTCGCAGACACAGAGCTCGCGGGAGCGTTAGGGGTTAACCAATACGTTGCAGGGCAACAATTCGAAGGAAGTCGATGGTATGTCTTGAGTTTGGCAAACTCAAATTGGAGGTGTCGCTCCGCACGCACGTTCACTTCTTTGTGGTTCAACTGTAGGTTATACAGGAGAGAAAGCATCGGTTCCGCTGCACCCATCGCTTAAAGAGCGCTTTGTCATTTGTGGCGCTTTTGCCAGGGGCGAGCACTACTGGTATTGTCCGCATTGCGGGCACACGTGAGTCACCTCGTTGAGAACTCAGACGAGTGCGATAAGCTTCCAGCGAAAATTCTTGTGGAACCAAGAAATGAATTTGAAAAGCTTTCATTTGGCAAGCTCATCTTCTGTTCTGGTCGGGGGCCCGATAATGTGGACGCGTAACGATCGCGTTACCGCGTTCTTCGCTTCCACAGCGGGATCTACTGGGCGGAAGCCATATTCCACACGAGGGTCAATGACCGGCCATGGATGGGCGCGCATCGGAGTCGCCTTACGGACAGCTTCCAGCTGCCGCTTCTGTAGTCATTGGTAATTACATTACGTCCCTCAGGTGACAAGAAGTCAGGAAACGATCATGGGGTCCACAAGGCGCGAGCAGGGCTCGAATCACGCCGCTGGCGCAGCTTGCCTTTCTCGTCATCCCATGCGGGAAAAGGAGTGTCAGACTCGCAGTTGACTATCTCCGCATCCTCAACGAGGTCACTCGTCACTGATATCGTGCGCGGAGCGCGACGCTCGTGCTCATCGAGCCTAGGGCGTACATCCCTAGGTGCCGCGGACGCACTGTCCGACATTGCACCGCGTGCGGGAGACGAAGTTGGGCTCTGTTCGTGTTCGCTGTCAGAACCAGCGAGACTTGGTGACTTCAGTCTCATTGACAC